CGGGACTTGAGTTGATTCCTTCAGTGGGAGTGTTGCGCCACTCTAATAAAGCCATCCATAGATCTTCTGAGTTTCTTTCAGTCTTATTAATTAAGTATTTTGCTATCTTTACAGCTGATTCAGCCTTGCCATTACCTCTCGGGTGATATGGCGACGATGTGACGTGATTAAACTCCCATTCTTTTGCAAATCTGTGTAAGTTAGCTGTTTGAAACTGAGCTAGTGAATTGTCAGTCATCACTGTTAAGGGGCAGCCGTGACGACTGAAGTTTTTCTTTGCAATTTCTATCATAGTGGCTGATGTCAGATCATGCAGTTTGTCCAATTCAAAGAAATCTGAGTAATAGTCTACTGTGACAAGATAATTGTCATTTTTGTGGTGAAATATGTCAAGCGCTACTCTCTTCCACAGTAGATCAGGTATTCTACGGGTCTGCATAGGTAAATGAGCAGGAGCCGGTGATAATTCCAAACAGGCCGAACACTCTTGAACTGTCAGTCCTCTGACATATGTGGCCAAAATAATTTAAGCCTTGCCTTTCTGAGACTGGCATCAATGCCGTGATGACTCGGGTGTATTCTGTTTAACATCTCTCTTCATAGCGATTTTGGCACTACTAAGGGTTCACCCCTAAAAATGAGTCCATCTTGAATACTAATTTCATCTCTGTATGTCCAATATTGTTTCACTTCATTTGGAAGGGAGTCATCCATCTTGTATGATTTTTTTTTACTGCAACAAGCTCTTTGTCCTGGTTGGTGTGCTGCTTTATCTGATCAAGTCGATCTTTGGTGACATTTAAATGCTCCGTGGACGATATTACTTCCAATTTGTTGAACATATTTTCCTCCTCTTGTATTTGGTGTACTTGTCATGATTCTAAGTCCTTTTCATCATTTCTTGTCTTTGTTTGCGCAGCTCGTGACAGGGTGTCTGCTATATACATCTTGCTTCCTTTCTTGTAAAGGAGTTTAACGTTGTACTTTTGTAGTTTAAGCATCATACATTGTAATTGCTTGGGTGCAGACAGAACAGACTTTTTGAAGATATTAAGCAGAGGCTGGTGATCTGTCTCCACCGTTATGTCTTCTTTGCCACATATTAACAAAAACGATTGCAAGCGAATAATATGCTCAGGCATTCTTTTTCTATTTGAGCGTAGTGTCTCTCTTTTTGGCTCATTGTTCTAGATGCCTAGGCCACTGGTTGGCCTGATTGGATTAAAGCACATCCGAGACCTGTGTCACTGGCGTTACATTGTAGCGTTACAGGTTTTGAGATTCTCGAAGGCATTCGTATGGGTGACATCCCATGTCCATGGCACGTCTTTTTGTGTCAGTTGTCTTAAGACTTCGCACCGATCGGGTAATGTAGGGACAAACTTAGCCAGATAGGTTACAAGTCCTAGAAATCTCTGTAGTTCGGTCACACTTTTAGGTTGAGGTATCTTCTGAATGGCTAAAATTTTTGTATTGTCTGGTTTAAGACCGATTTGCGTTAGTAAATGACCCATATGGGCTAATTCTTTTTCTCGCAGTTTGAGTTTTTGTTTCTTTAACTTCAAGTTCCTTTGCCGAGCTCGTTCAAGTAAATGCTTCAGCTTTATATCATGGTCCATGACCGCTTCATCGTATGTGTCACCACACCCGTAGACCAGAATGTCCTCTGCTATGACGTTGACGCCTTCTAAGCCGGATAATACTTCGTTGAGCCGTGTCTGAAATTCCCTTGCTGCATGCTCTAAGCCAAATGGTAAGGCGCAACCAACGGTAACAACCTTCAGGAGTCCAAAATGTCGTTAAGAAGCTCGATGGTTCATCTAACTCAACTTGCCAATAACCATCATTGGCATCTAAACTAGTAAATACTTTAGCTTTGGTTTAATTTCGTAGAATTTCTTCATTGTTGGAATTTTGTAATGCGATCGTTTTAGAGCCATATTGAGGTCTTTGGGGTCAATACAAATGCGTATCTTGTTATTACGAGTCACAACAACCATGCTGCTTATCCACTCTGATGGTTCTGATACTTTTGTGATTACATTTTTTGTTTCCAATCCTAACAATTTAAGTTTTACTTTTTGTTTGAGTGCTATTGGTACTCTGTGAGGAGCATGTTTGATGAGAACAACATTACTATCTAATTCTAGATGGTACTTTCCTGGGAGTTTGCCTTCAAAAACATCATTAAATTCACTAAGAATGTCCGCTCTGTCCCAAGGTTTCATCGTTTCTTGCACGGAGCACAGATTCTCTTTAACTTCTATTAGGCCTAGCTTGGCACAAGATTCGGCTGAAATTAAGTGCTTTTGATAAGGGGACTTAACTATTTGCAAGACTAAGTTGTAAACCTTGTTGTCAATACCACATTCAAGACATGTTGCCCTACCGGTACAATGACTTTGCCATGTAGCATTTAAGTTTGATTTGACTTGGCCTGAAATGAGGGCTGTGATCACAAATTAATTTATTGTAATCTTCAACGTTAATTACGTTACTGGAAGATCCAGTGTCTATCTGACATTTAAAAGTCCTAAATTTACCGTTACAACTTAGTTGTAACTCAGTGAACCATTGTTTCGTAAATTATGTGCAGTAGGACTATAAGGAATGCTACTACTGACTTGGAATAGTGAAAACAAGAAGCTTCGCTATCGTCATTACTTGATGGTTGTGATTCCTCACCAATAAAATGCAGTTGCTTACAGTTATATTTAGATTTAGGCCTACTAGAGGTCTGTTGTCTGTTAAAATTTGCATTTGCTTTTAAATAGATTAGCTATGTAAAGTTTAACTTGTTTGCATACAATAGAGAAATGGTTAAGTTTACCACAATTTTTTTTGACAAGTCTTGCCAAATGCAGGACATAGAGATTTTTTCCATTGATGAAGGTTTCCGCAATAGATACAAGTCTTAGGTTTAGAATAACTTTAGTTGGTCCTATCTTGTGAGTAGACGGGCGATGTCTTATTCAATACCTCATCTTCGGTCTCTTTTTGAGTAATAATCCTCTTCAATTGTTTATTTGTAGCTTCATGAACTTTACAGGTGACAATAGCCAAGGTTAATGTAAGCTTAGAATTTCCCAATAGCTTTTTGCGAAGGCTGACATCTAAAACACCTTAAACTCGACGATCACGTATGAGCTCAGACTCCAAGTTCTCATATTTGCATGAGGATGCTAGATGACGCAGCCTACAAACATACTGATTAATGCTTTCATACGCTTCTTGGTTGGCCGAGCCAAATAATGGCGATGAAGCTTAAGCTTGGTTTCTTTTCAGTCTCTTCTTCTTCTATAAACAGGCTTGGGGCACCACCGCTGCCACCACGTTACTCACCGGTCATAAGAATACTGCTGCTGCTGTCCTCACTCCTCATACTGGGCTTTTGGTAATATGTGGCCAGTTCATCCCATGTATAACACACATTGTAAGGTCGGGTGTTCCACAAGGATCCATGACGTCAAGTAGTTTATTTTTAATTTTCATAAATAACCTTTTGGAATTAACATTCAGAGGATAAATGCATTTGCGTACAATGTTGCTTTATTTTACTCGCATCAAAGAGAGCAGGTGATATATGAAAGCATTACACATTACTTGGCGCTGCTGAGAGAATAGTGTGTAAAAAACAATATTCTTAACCTATTTGAAACTTTCTGACATTTCCCGTCCAGCTCTATCTTCCCAACAAGACTATTCTTAGGTTACCAACTGGAAGACCTGAAATGAAGCATAGTACACTTTTCAGAATTCAGTTTTAGACCGAGATCATCTGACCATTGCTTAGTACTATGAGGGTAGTATCATTGAGTATACACGTATAAGAGTTGTCACATAATGCTATTAGTTGTTACCAATTTTGGCGACGAAGTTCGGGCCGCTGACGCTTGGGTCGCGTAGTCTGTTCAGAATCAGAATCAGAATCAGAAAAGCTTTATTCAAGATTTATACATTATATACCTACATGAAATATATGCATAAATACAGAATGGCGTCAAAACAGCTTATTACTAATTAAAAATACTTTGTTAAACTACATAAAACAGGAAAATTTAATTAATGTAATTACATGTTGTAAAACTCTTCAAATGAGTAAAATGCTCTATCAATTAGTAACAGTTTAAGTTTTTTTTTTAAAAGACCTAATGTTTTTTATATCAAATATTTCTTTTGGTAGATGGTACAAAAACCTAATACCTGCAGCTGTTGGTTTCTTGTTATAAAACTCCAGTTTGTGTTGTGTTACGGATGGATAATTTTTATGCCTAGTATTATATCTATGATTATCCCCCAGCAGTGGCACCTTGTCTTCATAAGCCCTCACATGCATAATAGTGTGCAATATATATGAGCTGTAAACGGTTAGAATTTTTAATTTAGGAAAATATTTTTTGGCCGATTCTTCATCATCCAGATTTAACATGATTCTTATTGCCCTTTTTTGAAGGATTAGAATACTTTGTAAATTTTGATTACTTGTAGCTCCATATAACTCAATACCAAATGTAATGTTTGAGTTGATATGTGCATGGTAAACCTTAAGCAATGTTTAAGTGATGTTGGTAGTGCAGTGCGCCTCTGAGGACCTTTTAACCATTTAGCATTAAAAATTTATTCTAAAACAACGAAACTAGAATGACAAAATAAAATTTTATAGCCTACAATAAAAGCAATAATAAAAAAAAAAAAACAACCAAACTGCCTTACTAACAAGCTCGAGGTGGAGTAGTTCGGCCGCTGACGCTACTCTGCAACAGCGCTCTTCAGGTAACGATAACTTCCATTGAGTGGCTACTCTAGTACGTGTATACTCAATGGTTATATGGTATATGTTGCTCCCAAATTGTCCAAATTGTTATGACTGACTTTTGTGAATAACATTAAGAACTCTACTATTCAACTTCCATTAAAAAACATATAGATATTCATCGAGTTAACAAATATATTTATTAGCACATTTACAAAGCTATGTTTGATTGACTGGTCTACTTTACCTTGTCAGTTTTGCCGATGAGCAGTGATGGTGGAGGTTTAAGCTGACACCGCAGCTGGTCTCTGTTAGGACTGTTCTGTATAACAGCCTGACATATCTGATAGCTCCGCTCCAGGTTGACGGCTCCTGGCGGAGGTTTACTGGACACATTACGAGACGATCTGCCACCCGATCCACCAGAACTGGGCTGTGAATAAAATGAGAATTCTTTTTTTATTTAGCGATGTGATGGTTGCAATTTTTATTGATTCAAGTTTTATTTGATTGTTTTTGGGTATTTTCAATTTAAGGAGTTAAAATTAACACAATTATATTCTACAATTATCATAAATAATATATTACAAATTGAGTAGCCTGCTATAAATTAGTATTTATGAAAATAAAGAATGGTAAAAATAAAAATCTTTATTTGTAATAGGAAAGATAATTGCGAGATATGTTGACAATGGTGCCGTGATCGTGGGACATGTTGAAGATGGGGCAACGAACGCGGCATATGTTGACAGTGGCTTTGTGATCGCGGCAGATATACAGTCATTAGGACATTGTTATGAGTAAACATTGAAAAATTTATGATTACTAAAGCCTAAAGCTTATAATGCTTTTCTGTAAGTACCCATATCAGAGCTAAATACCCAACTCAGTTACCCAACAGTTATCTATTTGTGGTTAGCTAGCATTATTTATAGTTATTTATTAGATTGATGTTCCACAGTTATTCGCACCAACAATTTAATTTTGTTAGTTAAAAGTTTTGTTCCTTGTATATTTTACCCATTATTTTTTTCAAAACTGTGCTAATTGATCTTGGTTGACATTATTGCTAACTCCAAAAATAATTCTTTAAGATTTTTAAAACAAACTCTTTTTTGCACAGAAAAAAAATCTTGTCCCATCCCAAAAGATAGAGAAGGAAATAAATAGGTTTCTTGTCCCACCATGAACTAAAAATACAATCCCGTCTATCTCTAAATATGGGAGAGCAAGCTAGTCTAGTGGTTAGAGCGCAGAACTTAGGGTTCAAATCCCGCCAAATCACCAATGGATTTTATCTAAGTGATAATGCCGCAACCCCTAAGTCTACCTGAAGTAATGTGAAAAACAATCCCGGGCTCGTGCCTAGCGTCCTAGGACAAAAATAAATCTCCAAAAGTTGGATTTTTAGTTTGAGACGAGACAAGACAAGATGGGATTTTTTATTTCTGATAACATTTTGAGACAGGATTTCCCTTCTCATACATAACGTGAAATGCATGTTCAACATTTTTTCCTAATTTTGTCACATTTTTTAATACCTACTGATTTATGACAGATGACTGGTTAAATACAAAAATAATATTAATAGAGAAGAATATTTAAAATCTTTTATTAAAAATATTAATAAAAAACTTTATTAAAAAAAATACAAATATTAGGCTAACTAATTAAGTTTACCTTATCTATCTATACCCTATCATATACTATTATTATATAAAATTCTAATGGTGTCTGTCTGTATGTGTGTTACTAATAGGTGCAAAAACTACTGAACCAACTGGGTTTAAATTTTACAAAAATAAAGCTACCATCAAGGACCATTATATGACTATTCACACTTTGATACTGACCGTGGGCTTTAAAAGTTCTGAGGTGAGGATTTTAAAAGTAAATATTGATTGGTCTCCATGGCTGCAATGAGAATACTAACAATGTTTACATTTGCTTTGACATTTCAATGTAAACAAGAAGAACTGCCAAATTACATATTTCACAATTTAAGACAGCAGCTGCAGTTTAGGACAATGAAATTAAATATAATATTTCACACAATTATGTGGTTGGTTTATTTAATCTAACAATTTATCAAAGATCATTTATTCAAAAACTATGTCAATGATTATAGAAATTTAAAAAAATATTCTAAAAGCGTTGCTGTATCAACTCAGGCTCTGCTTTTGATTTTTAAAAGTCGAAAATAATGTTATTGACATATTTTCATGGAAACAGTAAGAAAATTACAATGGATAGATGTTTTGTATGCATTTAGAGGCTACTTTAAATAAATTCAAACTGCTTAACATGTGTTATATTAACTTAACATAACTTGCACATCACATTGTTTTTTTTTATATAAACAATATGTAACGGGTCAAATGTGTAGGACGTAAAATAACGGCTAAACCACGAAACTTAAACAGCTGAATGTAAGCTGTTGTTGTGCCCAAGTCGCGACACTAAACTGACATCGTACCTAACCTCAAATTCCAAGACCGCAGACGATGTTGGTGTCAGTTTGGTTGTTTGGTTGTTCGACTGCGTCTGAGGACGGGCTACGGAAAAAAAGAAGAGCAGCGGAGCCACCTCTTGAGTGGTACGCGGCTATAAGCATGTTGAAGCTGTCATGCGCCTGCCTTCGCCGGCACGGGACTCAGCTGACTCTGTTTGTGCTGACCAATCAGGGAATGTTTTAACCTTCGTCTCGAATCTGAGACGAAGGTGAAGAGAGAAGAATAAGGATTGTCATTCGGATTCCCGGCCTTTTAGGCATTCGTTCGTTCGTCTTTGGTTTGAAGAGATTTTGTTCAACTTCTTTGTCGTTTTAATCAGTTACGTTTCGCGAGCTCTGAAAGCTTGCCGGTAAATTAAAAGTGGTGTGGTGAAAGTGTTTTGAGTAAACAATCATTTTCGTCATCTTGGTAAGTTTTGAAATAAACGACTCAGGTTTTCGTACCTTACCTTACCAGTTTTTGGTTGGGATAACTTTGTCGAAGTTCGTAGGCTAGGACTGACTCTCCGATCTAGTCATACATTTTAACCAACTAATTTGGTAAAGTACTGCAGTTGGTGACATTGCTTTTTAATTACGTTTCATAATCCATCTTGGGACTTTCCTTTTTAGTTCTTAAACCCTTTTAAAAGTTCCATAAACGTCCCAAAGTTTGTTCCAGCAGACAGGTTTCTGCTGGACAAGTTCTGTCGAAGTTGGTTCAAGTTGACCACGTGAGAAAGTAGAAGTTTGAATTTTCGTTCTGGCTCAAGGAGCAGTTTTATTTTTAGTTCAGTTTTTCCCGTTTCTGGTCTTACCTGGGCAACTTAAGCCAACTTGTTTTTTTGTTTGTTTGTTTAATAAACTCGGACTCTGTGGGAATTAGGCTAGGCTAGGCCTATCTCATACTAACCTTGTTTGTTACAGGTTAACGTCTTTTAGTTGTCTCGTTAAGTTAGCTAGTAGTGTCACATAGATATTTGCCCACAGAGTCAAGTTAAAATAATTAATTTCCCCACAAGCCCCAGACTAGAGTGGTGATTTCAAGTGTGGTGTTTGGTAACCCTCAACATTCGTCTCGAGCTCTGATAACCAGGGCTATCAAGTTTAGGCTACCCAAATCACTATCGAATCCTGGGAAAATCCCCGCGACCAGACTTGGGCGATTCCTGGGATCCCGTTTATCGTATCGGTGGCGTAATTTCCCACGTGTCGCCAGCCAGGAAAATTACGTCACAAATATATAATAATACTAGCTGTGTGCCCGTTCTACGCACGGGGATCTTATAGTAGTCAGTTGAAACCTTCTTATATTAAGATTAAGAACAGCAGTTAGTTTGCATATTTGCAGATATGCTGGCAAAACTATTATATATAAACCTTCGCAAATACAGTATCTGACAGTTCAAGCCAAAATAAATGCTTCGCAATTAAATGTCACCCGGATCGTTATGGTCCATATGTCCAATGATTAAACTAAAAAATGTTTTATAGATCCATGAAGCGTAGCCCTAAAGTAGGCCTATAATTGAAAGTTACTTTCCACATCGGTTAACTTAAACGTATTTAAAGTACTACCTCAACCTCACCATTTAACACTTTATTCCGGTTGACATTTTCAGTATCAAAGGTGCTCTTGTCCATTCCGTGAAACACTGAGAAATAAGGACATTAATGCGTTACCAACAGACATACACACAACAATCCAAAAAAGGCCACGAACTATTGATACATAAACAATATAAAGGCGTAAACAATTCATGATGGTTTGCCTAACAAATGTTTTACTCAAATAGGTTATCATTTTCTTAGCATACCGGGTAAGCTAAGATTTGGAATCCAGACAGAAAAAGCAAAACTTATACAGAGTTAAGACATCACTTAAATTGAATACGGACAGCTCTAATAAGTAAGGTGCAACACCAACGATAACTAATTTGTAAACTACAGTGATATGTTGGTACCTACGTAAAAATGATTCTAGCAGCTACCAACGGTTCTAAGAAAAAGAACCAGTACCTACGTAAGAACCTACCTAAGAACTATAGTACATCCGACCAATTAAATACATTAATATCTAGTCCCGAGGTTATTGATCTCTTGCTTTTGGATTTTCTCGTAAAAAGTTATAGCGTAAACTTATCGGTGTCAGCTTGAAAAAAAAAACAACCTTACCCAAACAACTTTTTGTTATTTAATAGATTACGCATTCTCTAAACAATGATTAGTATATCTATTAACATTAGAAGGAAATGTGACGAAAATCACACAATGTTGGGGTTTTGGTCATTTGTAATTATATTTCTTAAGTAGGTAGGCCATGTATTCTATGGAAAAGTACCGGTATCAAGGATCGTCGTCAAAAAGGTTGTTAAGAATAAATATGTAGGCTTACGTACCCAAGATATGAGCTATGGGCCTATTGGCTGTATGGTCCAGCGATTGCATCACACGGTGAGTAGAAACAGAAAGTGACACATTGGAAAAGCGAGTTTAGCACTTCCTCTGTTAAACCTCTGTTACAATCACCCACTGCAGTTGTGATTTTTTACTTTACACTTTACACAACCGCCGTCAATGAGTGGAAACCTTTTTTGTAAGCTATTGGCGACGATCATTTCAGTGTCCCAGCCCTATACAACACTGATTCAAGGTCTTCTTTCTGGTTGTCAAAACTCAAGAAACATTTTATACTCAAAGAATTTCTGGTTCCGATTTGGACGATGTCTAGTTATTTAATTTCATTTACGGTTACACTATTAGACTATATTATTGCACTTGCGATAAATTAAATCCGTTATGTAAGAAAAACACTTTTAATCTCACTTGGTTGGGATTTGCTTTCAAAACGTGATTCGAAATGGTTGCGGTATTTGTAAACAACATTTGTAAACATATCATTGACAGCTAGAAAAAATAATCTTGATCCGAACAGCTGTTCGTTATTTCATAGACGATTATGTGATAAAAATTGAACGAAAATTTGAAAAAAATCGCACAAAACTGCATTTTTGAACGTCCGTAATTTTATTTACAAAGTAGTGAGGCTATATTTAAATCACTAAAGACACTTTCGCTAATCCAGTGAATACATTAAAATGACTTGGATCTTGATAGGTACTCTGGTTTTCACGGAGAAGATTGCGTAAAATGCCATCTTGAGTGTTACAGACAAAGGGAAAGACAGACAGACAGACAGACAGACAGAAATAGAGATAACATAAAAAGACTTAAAAATAACCTAAAAGTATATAATTCTGAGCAAAGTACAGACAAAACTCTAATTTTATTTATATAGATATATAATGTAAAATCCTGTTTACTGTGTAGGTAAATTTAGTTATATTGTGTTTTGCTCTATGCTTAAATTAAACTAAAGAAGATCATCAATAACTAAATTGTACGTCATTATTGATTTTTGTGTTCTTAAATCTGTTGTATGTGTAACTATATTCAATTATCAAATGGTAATACAAATAGCCTACTCTTATTTTATCTTAACATAGCTTTCAGTTAACATTTATTTTATTTGATAAATTTTTTATTTGCGTTTTGTCAAACCACTGATTAAATTAAACCAAGGAAAATATCATAAAACTAAGTAGTACACAGTGTTCTTTTGTTTCTAAAATCAATTAAGTGACTTGTTTTGGCTATGCTAAACATGTCTCACACTGCTTAGGCCTACACTTAACAAAACTTCTCATCATTTGTGATGTAAAAATCAAAAATTATAAAACAGTTAAAGCAATATTTACATGTAAAGAATTAAGTACCTGGGGACTGAGCTTTGCTCGGGGAAAATTATTACTTTACTCTGAAAAGTATTGCAGATACATTAATCCACTCCCAATCTCCACACTGCTAACCTTCACTACTTACTTCACCACTCCCTACGTCGTGGACCTGTTTGCCCTCCTTCCCTATACCATTTTAGAATTGCATATACATAAATGCCACAGACAGTTCCCACACTCTGCACTGCTAGCATTACTACTTCCTACACCATTTCCTACGTCATGGACCTGTTTTCCTCTCCTCCCTTCTCGTAGCATTTTAGGATTGTAGATACCTTAATGTAGTTCCCATAAACAGTTTCCAGGCTCCAGACTGCTCGCCTTTACTACTTCCTTCACCACTTCCTACGTCGCGGACATGTTTCCCTCCATTCCCATAGCATTTTAGGATTGTAGATACCTTAATCTAATCGTCATAAACATTTCCCACACTCCGGACTGCTCACCTTTACTACTTCCTTCACCACTTCCTATGTCGCAGACCTCTTTCCCTCCATTCCCATTGCATTTTAGGATTGTAGATTCCTTAATCTAATCGTCATAAACAGTTTTCACACTCCAGACTGCTCGCCTTTACTACTTCCTTCACCACTTCCTACGTCGCGGACCTCTTTCCATCCCTTCCCATAGGATTTTAGGATTGCAGATTCCTTAATCTAATCGTCTTAAACAGTTTCCACACTCCAGACTGCTCGCCTTTACTACTTCCTTCACCACTTTCTACGTCGCGGACCTGATTCCCTCCCTTCCCATAGCATTTTAGGATTGTAGATAACTTGTTTTAATCGTTATTAACAATTCCCACACTCCGGACTGCTCACCCTTGCTACTTCCTTCACCACTCCCTATGTCGTAGACCTGTTTGCCCTCCTTTTTTATACTATTTTAAAATTGCAGATACATAAATGCCACAGACGGTTTCCACACTCTGCACTGCTAGCCTTACAACTTCCTTCCCCATTTCCTACGTCATGGACCTGTTTTCCTCCCTCCCATTACATTTTAGGATTGCAGATACCTTAATTTAATCGTCATAAACAGTTCCCACACTCCAGACTGCTCGCCTTTACTACTTCCTTCACCACTTCCTATGTCGTGGACCTGATTTCCTCCCTTTCCATAGCATTTGAGGATTGCAGATACCGTAATCTAATCGTCATAAACAGATCCCACACTCCACACTGCTACCCTTGACTATAGAATCTAGTAATCTTCAGTATAATCTTTGCTCAATAGTAACAACTGATGTTTTTCCTTTTGTACTGTGTTTTGTTTTGCTAGTATACTGTGGATAGACAAATTACAAGCTACAAGTCTTTTGTTTACTTTTTCCTTGTTATTTAATTCAGCCAACATGGTTACCTAGCAACCCATAAGACTAATGTTAAAAAAATGTGATTTTCAATTTCATTTTTCTACGTAATTAGATTTTTGATGGCAGTTCTAATTGCAGTAAACTCGTTTTTAGGCCAGAAATAAACTATATACAACATTTGAAGAAAATCGTCGGAGCCGTTTTCGAGATCTTGGTGCAAGCATACATACATACATACATACATACATACATACAAGCAAACTTTGCTCGTATTAGAGTATAGGATTAAATAAGAACGCCTTGGTAAACAAAACGTAACAATAGCACTCTCCTGTATTGCGGGTATTGCATTGACTTTCTGCAGGCTTTTTAAATTTTTTTTTATCTAGTCTCAAAAAATCTCAATCAAAATAAAATTTCGTCTCATAGAACAATACAGGGTGATTCAAAAAGGACTTTACAACTTTGAAAATTCATATAAATCTTATTAAAAAAGGTACAGAGCTGGTTTTGGTGTTGTTTTAAAGGAAAACACTTCAAGTTTTTTTACCTTAAACTAAATATGTTCTATGTGACTTCCGTTGGATTTGGGAAAAATAATTATTTAGGTATGAAAAAATAGTGAAAACCGTTAAAAATTTGAGAGAAATTTACAAAATGTTGAAAGTAGGGCGTTTTTTGACGGTGAAGGAGTGTGCACCCACTTCTAGAGGTGCTAGGGAGTTGAAATTTCGCACACTTGTAGTTCTTGGTCCCAAACCACCAATAAAATTCCAAAAAGTCGCTTTTTCAAATTTTAACCCCCCTAAAAATCCAAAATGGCGGACCTCTGAAAACGACAAAACGCGTTTTTTTCAAACGGCTATAGCTCGAAAACGGTAAGAGCTAGAAAAGATTTGAGGGAAAAACGTAGGTTCGGAATTAAATTTCCTACAAGACACTTTTATGCGTTTTTCGAAAATCGCACTCCTTTGCCGTCAAAAAACACCCTACTTTCAAAGTTTTGTAAATTTCTCTCAAATTTTTAACGGTTTTCACTATTTTTTCATACCTAAATAATTATTTTCCCCAAATCCAACGGAAGTCACATAGAACATCTTTAGTTTATGGTAAAAAAAACTTGAAGTGTTTTCCTTTAAAACAACACCAAAACCAGCTCTGTACCTTGTTTAATAAGATTTATATGAGTTTTCAAAGTTGTAAAGTCTTTTTTGAATCACCCTGTATTTCAATTTTTTCAAAATGTTGAGACACGTCCATTCCTACAAATAATGAAACACAAAAAGAAACCAACTACACTCTGTTGAAAATCAAAAAGTGCAATGTCTAATACTGGACAATTTCACACACACATTCAGATTTAACAAAAAATAGCTACTTGTGTTTTAATTTCCAGCCCCCAAAAAAGTACAGGTGTGCAGGTCATTGGTATTTTTGGGTCAAGTAGAACAAACAGTTGGCCCGGGAGGTTGATTAAGCCTGAACAAATTCACAGGCCAAGCTGGTTGGCGTGACCATGGCTGATGTTCTCGGTTTTGTTGTGACTATAGAAGACGATGACAATGTCGCTTTGACTGCGGCAGATGTTTATGATTTTTCCCCTAAAGAAATTCTTAATATCGTCACAAATGTGGAAGATTTTGTAGCCAACATTGTAGACAAGGTTATAGGGTATAGGGTATTGTGTATCTATTAGTTCTTGGAATCTTAATTTTCTCTGGTAAGCTAGCTGAACTCTATCAATTTTTAAAATCAATTTACAAGTTTATGATAATTATATTATGATTATATCATTATCATATATATGTCAATAAACAACCAGTGTCAAACTCTTACCTTAGGCTTCGTGGGCAGTGCTCGTACAGCTGTTGTGGTAGTCAAGGCTAGGTAGGGTACAGCAGATGAACTAACCACTCCTTGTGGCGGGGGTTGATGTGGCGGAGCAGATGTCACTGGGTTGATGGAAGGTAGACACACAAATGTAGTGGGGGGTATAACATTGACAGGCGCCGCAGTGGTCTTGGGCAATGTGTCGTCTGTGGGGGCTGAGACTCGTGAACCACTGGCTACACCTCCCCCCTCCACTGTACTAGACACCTGACTGTCTACCTCGGGAGTCAGCGTCACTGTAATACAACACTCAATCATACACTAAAACATTCCATGGTTTATTGGTTTGTACAAATCCAACCCTTTCTTTAATGTAAAGACTTTTGATAGGATATCAATCTTTAGCTAAATGGGAAGACAACACTCAAGTACAAAACACAAAATCTTTGACCTTATAAACAAACATTTTTCATTGTACTTACAGATTGACTTTGAAATGTTTATGTTGGGAATAGTTGGGGTATAGTTCAGGTCTTAAGGTAGCCAGAAGTGGTTGGATTAATTTTTTTGGCCTTTATAAATAAAGCGTCATGTGATGAGAGAATTCTTCCTATTTGGGTAAGCCTGCTGTCCTTACACCTATGCTTTGTAATCTGTTACATCCTTAACTCTTCTTGGAGGATGGAGTCAGTTACATCAGAACCTAGATTAACTGTGGTTACATTACATAACCTCATGACCCAAGAAAAATACTAGGGATGGACTGGTCCCAAAAATTCGGGAAATATCCGGGGGAAAATATTCACGATTTTCGGGACGGATTACATTTGATTCGGGAATATTTCTGGACAGCATTTGATCCCATTGTCGGCGATTTTCCTGACTCCGCTATCGCGAGAGATGTTCACGATAGTTCCATGACCGCGAGTAGCTTCGATGATCGCGCCGTGACCGCGAAGTCATACCGACGATAACGTTGTGACCTGGGAGTCATACAGTCGATCACAACTTGACCTCAGAGTCATACCGACGATTCCGCCGAGACTGCGAGTCATACCAACCGTTCCTGCCGTGACCGCAAGTGATTTTGATGATCACACGAGTCATTTTGACCGCGAGTCACAAGTTTCTATACATGTATATTTAACCCATTCTTTGGTTTTGATAGATCAGTGCTACAAATGGTAAAAGTTTATTTTGTTTCTATTTTCTGGTAACTGCAATACTCAAAACTTTCTTTTTATGCACAGGAAAAAATCTCGTCCCGTCCCGAAAATCGGGAAGAAAATAAATATCCCGTCCCGAACTAAAAATTCAATCCCGTCCATCCCTAAAAAATACCAAGATAATTTTTAAAACTGTGTTTCTTAATTCTACTGCATTAAACATGCATAGTATAATAAACTATTTCAGTCTATTATTCATATGCATTAGGCTCCCACATCATAGATTTTTAAATATCACAGTTCATATGAAAAAATAAAACAATACAATAAATGAGAAACAGAACAAAGAATTATCGTCAGTGAACTCCAAGGTGACAGACAGGCATCTAAGAAGCAAAGACTGATGACGACATAATACTCAGCTGCCTGTGATTGGGTGATCAGTAACCAAGGTAACTTATACAGGTTACTTATAGGTATCATTATACAGTATGACACTAAGGTTATCAATACGTAAACCTGACGAAATGCAGGCCAGTTTACTATAGACAAAGGGTATTGACACGTAAATTTGACGTATGTGTTCCAAGAAACCGACTAGCAAGGACATAAAGAAACACACTACGACCCAACCAAGGCAGCAGTCAGTAGGAAAATGACTGATGAGAGCACTGCTGGAAGAAGGGTAGCGTCGGTTGAGGGGGTGGGACGCTAAAAATAACGCCCTAAAAAATTTCCCTTGTAAAATTT